CCCCAAAACCCCAAAACCCCAAAACCCCAAAACCCCTACCAATTTTGTAAAAATTGAATAAAATGGAGCTTAAGGTCCCTACTCCTTCCAAACCCACCAATTCCCATACAAAATCCTCAAAATCCTCCAGCAGCCACTCAGGATCCGACCCGCCAAGAGGGAGATCTATCTTCACTGAAGTAAGCCGAAAAGACCAGTGGGAGCCCAGAAGGAACAAAATAGGAATTTTAGAGGAAAAGAGAGCTTAGGAGGGGTATTTGGCTGATATCATTGCTTTGCATTCTATTTAAGCTAGATTCTGAAATGCATGAAGGTCTCTTGTTTATGATCATAAAGAAGGTTTATCAGATAATAAATTTCTATGATTGACTTATCTGAATCGGAAACACCGATGAATAGCTTCTTCCTAATTTTCACCCTGTTTGCTTATCATTGTTAACCAAAAGTTTCTCTAAGACAGCTCTTTAGGAAGAGAATAGGCATAATGTTAAAGATGAAGATACCCTGGACTTAATGAAGAGTATCAGGTCTTTCAAGCCTGATGATATCCATGTGAGCAAAGAAGTAATTATTGGAGATATTAATGCCACGATTAAAATTACATCAATCGACTTAGACAAAGAGCTCCTTGATCCTCATGACAGTCGTGATTTTAAGCGACACAGTGGAATGTCTCAGAACTCTGAATACAGCTCGAATTCCTCGAACAGCGAGGGCTGGCTTGAAGAATGTAAAGCCTACACAATGGCAAAATCAGTAGCTCAGGACCAAATGAACGAACTCATAGAAGAACTTAAGAGAAAAGAGCAACAAGATCACCAGAAAAAAGATGAGATAGTCTGGAGTGAATCCAAAATAGATGATGAGTCAAGTGATGAGAGCCCTGAGAATAATGATCTTGAAGAGTTTAAATGTCAAGAGCTCGGCATCTCTTCCTTCTCTACAACATTTTTGTTCGTTAATAAGTTCATTAAGAATCTTAAACGCCATGTACGGAACAACAGAATGAAACGAAACGTAGTTGATGAGATCATAAAAACTGAGATTTCTTACCAAAAAGGACTCAAATGGCTCAATAAATGGAAGAAAGAACTTGTGGAAAAGAACCTGACTACTGAGAAGGACTCAGAGATTATCTTCAGTAACATCGATACGATCCTTCAGATCAGTGAAGCATTCCTGGAGCTTGCCCAGAAGAGGTTCGACACATGGACTTCTAAGAGCTGTATTGGAGATGTATTCCAACAGATAACTCCTTACTTCAAGATGTATATCAATTACTGAAGTAATTATACAGAAGCGTCTGAGTTCTTTAAGGAAAAGTATAATAGGGAGAGATATTTCTTTAAATAAATATGTAGACAAACAGCAGAAAAAGGCAGGCCAGATCTTCGAATCATTCATGATTACACCAATCCAGCGGCTACCGAGATATGAGATGTTGATAAGGTAAGTCTACTTCTTGAGAATTATATAGCCAAGCATTGAAGTACACCAATAAAAACCATCATGACTATAAGGAGCTAGAACATGCTTTAAAGCTAGTAAAAGAAGTTAACGTTAAAAATAATGAATCAATGGGAAAATCTACTTTAACAAAAAGGAAATTAGTCCTTAATGAGCTTTGCAGAGGGAATATCAACTTGATGAAGTCCCACAGAAAATTACTTGCAGAATATGAGGAGCTAAAGTACTTAGATTACGATAAACAACGGCTCAAGCAATGCTTCATTGCTTTATTTACAGATTGTATTGTAGTTTTCGCAAGTCATAAGTAAACCATATCTTAACCTCTAGTTTTCTGTACCAAATCGGATATTATACGCATGTTTCATTCAATGAGCTATCTTATGCTGTAGACATCACAGACACTGAGTCTTGTCAAAACTTGTTTGTGGTATGTTTCTCATCTCATGGATAGATATCTGGGAGGAAGCATAAAAAGCTAACTCTCTCTGCTAAAGATCCCGAATCAAAAGGTAGGCTGTCACCTAACCCATAGAGAAAATAATCCTTGCTGTGAACAGGCAAATAACCGATCTTACTAAAAACATACAGAGCAAGAGGAAGTTCATGAAGGATCTCTCAGGTAAGAAACACAAGAAAGCCAAACGCGAGATGGATAAAAACAGAGACAAGAGCGAATAGGCATTATAATTCACCTCAATATTCACTAACGTCAGAGGGGTTTTGGGGTTTTGGGGTTTTGGGGTTTTGGGGTTTTGGGG